AACAATAGTTTTTCTGCTTTTTGCTCTGCCTCTGCCCTTCTGAATCAACAAAAGTTAAACCTGGTTATTACTGGAGCAAAAGTGCTTGCATGAATCACCTAAACAGTAGCTAGTATTATGATGTATGTTCAGACTTGTTTGTGGAAGTATTTTGAAGAAATTTCTTCTGGGACATTTCTTTATACATTGTTATTATCCATGTAGGAAAAGGGAAAGATTTTTTACTGAGTTCAAATTTCAGACTCAAATAAATGGTTACTCATGTCAGCTGCCTCACTCCACAAGTTTACACCTCACAGAAATTTTATAATTCTGGTGCCTTTGACACTTCCATCTTCCACTTTTAACTTAATGCCTGTTTCTCTCAGTACTAGCAGGGGATCTGTAAGAATGACTGAATAACTTTTTGTACAACTGTGTTTTAAGGAAGTGCTTCAGATAATCAGGATTTTCAGTAGCAGTAATGTCTCAATCAAGATTTTTCAAGTAATTTTTTTATTATAAGTTTTTATAAAGTGTGAACATGTGCTTCAGCATTAAAAACTGCCTAAATTCAACACAGATGATACAGCACAGCTACCAAACTGTGGACCACAGCAGCTTATTCTGTTCATCTCCTATTCCAGGGAAATTTGGATAACAACACCCTCAATCACCATGGAAGTTTATGCACGTTAAGTGTTTCTAATTAGAGCAATTTAAAACTTTTCAAAGTTACTTAATGGTTACGTCATCTCTAGAAGGCACAATAGTTAATGGAGTTCAAGGAGTGATTTTGATAGATCATCAGGTACCAAAGATACGTAATTTAGACATTCCCAGAGTTGTAAATGACAACAAACAAAAGTAGAGAACATCTTACTGTCTGTTTACCTGTAATAAAATACTTGAACTGTCCTACATTTGAGATGGTCCAAGCTAAATATATGCAGTCTTATCTGATCTGAATAGCTTTGAGCATGTCTAGTACAAGATAATCGTTAGATTTCTTTAATGATTAAATAAGTTTTTTGAAGTGCAAGGCCTGCTTTCTGTAGGAACCTGTGGACCAGAATTTCTTACTACTGTGACTGTAATCTCAGTATTGTACAAAGAGTAAGTCACCTGTCCCCTGTTGCTGGAGAATGGAGACACACAGACCATGGGAAATGGGAAGATAGTTTGGCAGCCATTCAAAGAAAAAAAAAAAAAAACAGAACAAAACAAAACAAAGCAACCCAACAGTTTCTAGCCCTTAAAAAAGTCAAAATAATTTCCGTATAAGACATAAGTCTATGCTATCAGAAGAATCTTCTTCCGTGACATAAATATTTCTCTATTAAATGCAGGAAGGAGAATTTCTGTAATAAATATATGGCTTTCAGACTGCATTAACATAGCATACACTAACATAAAACTAACAAGTAGAATCATAACTCTTCTGGTCATGTCATTTCCTTCGACATAAACATCAAGAGCCATCAAGTGTTTTGAAACCACTGATATGACTCTAGTTAGGCGACATAGGATCTATAGGAGTCTCCTGACTGACATCTCAGGGCAGCTAAGAAAGACCAAGCATTTCCAGTTGTGCTAGTATTGCCTTTAGGAAAGACAATCCAGTCACAGGTTATCTCAAGCTGGTTCTTGTGACACACTGGTTTCATTAGATGGATTGCCAGCTAGCCCAATTAAAAGCTCTGCTTTTGTCTTTGTGCTGCTGGCTATTAAATTGCATCTCGTGTAATGAATATGGGGCTGGAATGAATCATAACAATACAGATCTAGACTACAATGAACCAATCAGAAAGCAAGTATTGACAACATTGGCAATATCCCACTGTATGATCACATCTAAGGAGAAAGGTTACGTGTATTCTGGAATGCTGTATTTGCTTAGCTTTTTTTTTTTTTTCAATCAGTCTTTGTGAAGAAACACTTGAATGAATGATTTACAGCTTCTTGTAGCACAAAACTTTCATTTAACTTACTGCACAATGACATAAGTTCATCCAGCCCTCAATCTTGTGTTTTAGCACCACCAGTGTTATGCAGCAAGGCATCTCACAGCTTAATTATAGCTTGCATAGTGAGCCTTTCATTTTTTTCCTTTTTGATCTTGTATTTAATAGGGAATTCAGTAGGCTTAAAGTAGGAGAAATGTTATGCATTAAAGTGTGAAAAACACTATCATATAGTTACAAAACATACCATGTAGTTCTCCAAGGTGGGAGAACAAGTGGCTAAGATTCATTCTTTAGCAGTGAAAAAAAAAACCAAGTAGCAATCAAATCATCCACCTGAAGAAAGGAAGGAAAAGAATAGATAAAATCTAAAATTTTCCAAGAAAATATTAACAAGACTGGAATGCATCTTTATTTAGGTGAAATGTGTAACATTAGTGATGCAGGATGGGGAAAAAAGTAGCAGAGAGAAAATAGCGAGAAACAGTAATAAACAGGAACATGGGACATAAGGAAAAGGAAAGAATTTCTAGGCTAGGCTAAAGGAATCCTAGGCTGAAAGTGAATAGGAAAGCTACTAGATAAGAAACAATTGGGATGGTCAGAAAAAGCTAGCCTAAGCAATAGTTAGAATTTCCTAGCAAAAGGGAGGGGAGCCAGGCATTCATAGATAGGAGAACACAGAGAAGTTAAAGGAGTTATTGACATGAATAGTAATTCTTGGAGCAAGTCTCAGCAGACAAGGCTTGACAAGCAGATTGGATGAGCAGATTGCTCAAGATAGCTAGTAATCTTTTTAAGAAATGAGACCTTTTAACAATACACAGGGTTTAAAGAGGAAAGAAAGGACTCACAGGAAAGTGTGGTAGTGAAGGTGATTCACGCAATCCAAGAGTGAAAGAAGGAAACAGCAAGTTAAAAAAGAGGGTAAAGTGTGCGTTAAATGGATGAGTGGGTGTGGAAAATAGAACAGTGATTACCAACATGTTTGGAAAAGTTTAAACTTTTCATCTAGGGTAATACCTCATCTAAGCAGATTTCAGGCTGTCAATATAGTCATAGGAACAGGGTAAAGACCACCATTTTCCAAAGAAGTGGTCATAATTCACTTCTCCTTAATCATTAAAAAAAACAAAACAAAACAAAACAAAACAAAACAAAAAAAAAAACAGAATCTGGAATGCAATGGTTGCTAAATATGAGAATGTGTTTAGAATACTCCTGCTTGGGTTTGCTTGAAACCAGACAATTCCACTGATCTCTGTCTTTCAGTTCCAGCTAAATTCTGTTTAGAGTTAGATAAATCTGAGCAATTAACAGGTGAATTAACTAGAGGCAAACTCCTTCCTAGTTAATGGAGAAATGAGTGGCAGGAAGATTATTAGAGTAGACTTCAGTGTTGAAATCAGAAAATTATATGTAATTTAAAAAAATGGGAAGAAATAAATGAAAATAACAAAATATTGCTATGTGAAGATAGCACTGAAAAGCTATATTTCAAATAAAAGTGAACAAACTGCATGTAGACATTGCCTTTTTTCATGAAACTCAAATGCATTATCTGAAGCAGGCAAACATTGTAACCCAAAATGTTAAAGTCTGAAAGTGTTGTTCACAAAACATTTAAATATACCATTTGACACTGTTATGTCTTGAACCAGATAGCTGAGGCCTAACAGCTGAAGGATGCATCCGAAAGGAAGCAACTGAGGTGGTAATTTTGGATACCATGGTGTTCCAGTGATAGGAGTGGGTGCCCTTCTTCATTCATGTGACCGGGTGAATGATTGAAACTTGTTCATGTCCACATGGCTCCTTACATCTCACTGAGAGACAACTGTCACAAGAATAGAATTCTGTCTTATCCAGAAATTACTTAGACTTCTCTAAGGGCCAGAAATTGTTGCTCCAACCATATGTCCAAACACACACACACACACACAGATCAATTATAATTAAAACACGCTTTTTAATTCAAACAGTATGTTACATGTAACATGCATTGTAAAATTAATCTTGTGATGTGTCCTGTATCATCATGAGTTAAAAGCAACACAGTGTCCATTGCCAGATGGTTTAGATGATGCCTGATACATGAATTAACTGAACACAGTGAGTTGTGTTCACACAATTGTGTTAAGTGTTAATTAAAACACAATTTAAAAATAAAGATCTGTGTAGTCTCAATGAAAGCAATAAGATCATTTCTATATTTCTATGGCACAAATTCATTATGCATATATCAGAAGCTTGGCATATTAAAAAAAAACTAATTCAGTCCCAGTTTGTTCTGTGATACCATTCATTAGAAAAGGTAGGACTTAGTAAAAAAAAGAAGTTTCTTGTCCCTTATAAATGATTTGTCAATACCAGAGACATGTTTCTCATTTAATAGTTAGAACTGGGCATGTATGCACCAGGTTCCACCCTGAGTAGAAAAGTCCTATCTTTTAAATAATTTGTTTTGAAAGACAACAGACTTAGATGTTACGATTTCTTCCTACCTTCACATTTCTTGAAAAACATGAGGGATTTTGTATCACCGTAGTCACCCCTTATCTTGTGATCTACAAACCAAGTATTAATTACAGGAATTATAAAGTACTCTGCACATATTAAAGTGTAAAAGCGTAACCTAAGTTGGCCTGTTTTTTTAGTGACTGCTTTCCAGCTCTGGGAATTATTCTTGCCAACTCTGCAGTGAGAAGGGCTTAGTTTCTTTCCAGAGCTAAGAACTCTGTCTTTAACTTCAGAGCTGCCTCCAAGTACATGAAGAACTTCACTTAAAATCTGGGGACTCACCTGCTGAGAGAAAGCAATTTTACAGGTAAGATGAGGAGGCCTTAAACTGTGCTCCCCAGTAAGAATTTGTAGTGTCTGGCTAAGCAGATTGTTTTAGCAACATTTGCTTCATCGAGGTCTCATCTCAGGGAAAAAGCTGTTGCTTTTGGTTTAAAATATGTAGTGTCATTTTCTCTTTGCAATGAGTCCTTTCATCCAATCATATTCTTGCATGCAAATATGTCATAGCTGGGTACATATAAAAAAGCACAAGTAAAGCTAGGAGCTCAGTCAGGACAAAAATCACTTCACTTCCCTCATACCTTGTTTCACCTGTGTTTCAGGAGTGTCCTCAGACTCCACAACTGAAAATATGAAGAAGCAAGGTTCAGAGAGCAGCCCTGCTCCAGTTTTGCCAGCACTGCCAGAGCCAATCAAAGATCTGAAAATTAAGTACACCAAGGTTAGTAGTGTTTATGTTTCTTAATTTTTCTTATGCATTCAACTCAGACAGTAGGATGTGCGAATTTCAACCTTATATGAACCATGGAAGCAGCAGTAAATCAGTGCTTAAAATGTTTATTCTAACCTTCCTCTGATATTATGCATATTAGCAATTACTGTTCAGTGATCTTTTTAACCTTTCAGAAAACATGCAAGTGTGATAGAATCATTTCATATCTCACTCGGGGGGTGTGTTGTTTTTCTCCTGAAACAAACTTTCTGCAGTGAAAACTTTCCTAGAAAGTATAAAGGGATCAAAGAAGGAAAAGTTTCTATTATTTTATTGCTTTTCTGACAGTGAGAACAAAATAAATGTTAGTGTGTGGCATTGTTTTACAATCAGATCTAAATTATTATACCAAATAAGTTTATGTAGAATGGGATGTGTGAAAATGAAACTAAAAGAAAATGCATTCCACTCACATGTTTTTTTTCTAGAGATACTGAATCCGGTTTTCAGCTTAAACAAGTAACTATCAATGAAACAGCTAAAGTGTCCCATCACTAATTATTCGGTATTACCATAAAGTTTTTGTAATAGCAAATTCTTTCCATATGCAGTTAGAAATACACAGATAAAGAAGGTCTGAATCCAGACTCGTGTTCCTAGCTTGAAAAGGCATTTTGCCTGGTTTATATCAGATATCTGCAAGAACTTTATCAAACTCTTGGCAGAAAATACTGAAACTCGGCCCTCTGAAAATTTAGGTAAAACAATTGATCAGACTGGAACTCTTCCCTTTTGTGACTCCTCAGTTACTGTTCATTTGTTTTTCTCATTAACATTGCAATGGAAATAAATTTTGTTTACTAGAATCACTGCTTATTTTCTTTCCCAAAGGCAAGGTGTTCAGGGATCATCTAGATTAGTCCTTTAGAATTCCATTCTATCCTACTTTTTTCATGGGAAAAACCTAACCAGATTTCAAAGCACGTCTTTCATGAATAAAACACACAGGATCTTACTTTGTAAATATTTAACAGGCTAGGAAAGCTATGTAGTACTGCCATGTGATAGGTCTCTACTGCTCTTCCTGTCTTATAAATAAATAAATAAATAAAAGCTTAATTCAGAGAATATACTTTTGTACCTGAGTCATACCTAGGTCACAGTGGTGTTCCAAAAACTACAGCGCTGTTTGTTTGACTTTTTTATTTTTCCAAACGAAAACAACTCATATGAACAAAGTGCCAGCTCAGAATTCTGATGTAACTAAACATGCAAGACATAAAGTCCTCCAAATATTTCTATCCTTCTAAAACATGTAGTTAGCAAAAGCCTATTACATTCATATGACAAGCAGCCACAAGACATCCAGCTGAAAAATCTACAATGTGCAATTGATAGCGTCACAGAGCAAGTGCATGTTCCTTTTGTCTTCACAATAGATACCAATTTTTTTAAATGCAGTTTTCTTGAAAACTGCATACAAAGTGTAACTGTGCAGAAACGCAATGCAATTTTTTGCAGAAGTGTGTACCTACAAGTGGTCAAATCCAACACACCCCCTGTGAGCAGTCATCCCACAATTTCATAGTCTTTCCACTCTCATCTTCTTACCCACCCTGTTCCTCTCCTGTCTCATACAAGTTAGAATGTGGAGTGTGGGATTGTTTTGGCTAGTTATGTTGAAAGGATCAAGATGGAGGAAGATGTAATTACTGCTGATGTGTTAACCTTTCTGTCTGAACCACCTTGGATATCAGCAGATCCCTCAGTTTTGGAAACTCAGTTTTCATTGTTTCTACCAATGCATAACATCAACAGCCAGTACACAGCGATCTGAAGTAAGGTCTGCAGGAGATGCCCAAAAGACATTCCCCTTTACTTAACACTCTTGATATTTTATTTTCTATGAGGGGAGTGTCATTCTGGGCCTTTACAGACATCATTTAACAAAGTATTTCCACATCTCCATGGATCTATAGATTTCCATATCCATACGTATGGTTTAGGTTATGCCTTCCACATATAGCATAAAACTAAGCACTCTTCAGGTAATTTGCATTTCAATAATTAAATTGAATGCATTTTAAATGGGTAAAATGGCTTGGATGTTGAACCACAAAGTGATCTTGAAGTAGTTTCTTGTCTGAATCTCCTTTATTCTGATGAACTGAATTGAACTGAATGAGTGTTGGTAGCTGGCTAAAAATGTACTAGTAAATATTTTACTTAGTCAACACTGAGGAATTAGGCAATGATTGTTTGGCAAATGATTTCTATCGTAATGCTTTCACATGCACTAAGCCCTATGGTGCTCCTTTAATCAGAGAAACTCAGATCAGTTAATTATTAGGCTGTCAAATTACATGAGGAGGAGAAAACAGCAGCACATTCTCTCACCAAGATGCACGTGGAATATCAGAAAATGTGGAAAGGTTCACACTTGGAGTGAAGAAAAATTGTAGCTGAGTATCACATATGATGCAATCACTAGCTTCACGAGCAAAACAGGGCGGGGGAGGAAGAAGGAAGTTACATGAAATATTAGCCAATTATCAACTTTTTGTAAGTAAAAACCTAGGAAAAAGAAGAGATTTTATAGTAGGGATTCTGTATTGATATACCTGTTTAAAGCTTAAAACGGCAGTCTTTAGTAGTTCCTTAAATAATTTCACATATTTTCACTGTATTGCCTAAAATACACAGTGAAACTTCATGACATATTTTGGATGACTAAATCAGAACTTATAGCACAAGAAACAAGCCTCCTCTTGGGCTACAAATCTCCTTTAGGTTTAGATCTAACTGTAAGAATTATTTCCATTTTCAAACTCATGAATACCTGAATGACTCTTATGATCTGCTAGAGCAAGTGTGAATAGGTGCCAACAACCACTTCACCTGAATGGTGTTGAATTGCCTCCAGCATGCAGGAGCCTAGCTCTAGCCATGGTGCCTCTTCACTCTTCCTGGCCTCTAAGAAAACATTAGTAGGGTCATTCCCTGGTTTACTATCTGCACTAGAAAGCTTGTTAGCAGTCAGCTGAGCAGCCAAGCAGCCGTTGAAATTTGGTGATGGCTTTTGGCTCTGTGAAACAGGCAGCTGGGCTCATTTGTAGAGCCTTGTTGAGAAAAACTTTATCATAGGAAGAGTTATAGACTATCATGGGGCAGATTTATGGTGGGAAGAAGTTACGCTTTTTCTTGTGCCATAAATTTAGAAGAGTGTCTGATATCTAAAGAGAATATAGCTTAAACATTTCTGTATTTGTAAAGCTGCCTTTCGCAGCTGAATCTGGGATAGTCCACATTTCAGACAGGTCTATTACTTTCCTTGACTACATCTCTGCAGTATGGATTACAGTTTATAACAATAATAGTGAATTACATGAAAATTCTCTGACAAATAATTTTATAGACAGATACAGAATATGGGTTCATGCAACATCAGAAATTAAGTATTTTCTTCTTTAAACACACTTTTAAGTCACTGCTACAGAAACACTGAGGCTTGAAACCCCCTACAGACTTTTCACAGTATTGATCACACAAAAGAGGTCTTTTGCACTTAGGTATGACAAACAAGCAGAAAAAAATGTAAGTTGCCAGTGGAGTTCTGACTAACAGACAAAATACTGTACATGCATTAAATGGGCATGGCTGAATGCACAGTTATGAGTGCAGCTGCCTGCAATGTATGTAACACAGTTTACATGGAGACTTTCAACTTTTTCCTAATCTTTCCTGTCTTTCATACCTGCATATATAAGACTGCCATCTAACTTATGAAAAACATCTGGATAGTTTGATTTATATAGTCCTGATACAAAGATGTGTATATATTTAATAGAGTAAGGTTATGTTTTGGATGGGAATGGTATTAGAAACATTAATAAGAAAGATACTCTAAACTAATATTATGGGTGATATTGGTTGGTGCAATAAATGTAGTATTTAAACAAATACTTTAAAATCTTCCAAAAATGGTATGTTTTGCTATTATTCCTTTCTCAGGCAGATATGAATTTGGCATACTGTAACATCATAGCAGTGTTATGTTAATATTTACCTTGTACTTTGTCTCTTTTCTTGGCAATGAAGCTAGTTACTAAAGATGGCTTTTTCATATTAACCATTTAGCTGCTGCCTTTGTCCTTTCACTATAGTCAGAATTTTTCTGCTGATATTCCTATGATCAACTTCATCATATGTCTGAAATCTCCAAGGACCTAGGTATTTATTTCCCTGACAGCTTTTGTTAAATCAAGAATTCTCTGGTCAGTCCTGACGGCTGGAGGAAACAGTGACACTCTACACATGGTACTCATATGGAAGCAAGCTGAAACACAGGGATATATTAATAAAAAGCTGTTATCACGTATCTTTAGACATAACATTTTTATTAATGTTAATAGTTATTACCAAACTATTAAGCAATAATTAACAACACTCAGTCAGTGTAAGTAGTTTTGATACTGAAAGCTGTCATGTTTTCATAACATGGTTGTGGTGGTAAATTTTAAATCCCAGGTCTGGGTGGCAAAGAGCATTTGCCCTTCAGTTTTGGTGCCCTGATTTTGTCCTGTCCTGAATCAACTGTCATTTGCTTTGATTTGCCTGCCACAAAGTATTTTCTAGTTTTCTATTTAAATGCTCCTGTTACTCTGAACTGCAACAGTAGGTCTTTTATCCTAATTGAGAGGAAAAAAAAAAACACAATTTTTCTGCTTGTTGGCCTCACAGCTAATCTCCAGTGACTATAGGTGGGGCAAGACCCCATGACCCAAAAAATCGGCACAGTTTGAACTCAAAATACCTGATACAGTCAGTCAGAGCCTTCCATGCTCTTGATGCCAAACATGACCAAGATCTCATATGTCTGGCAGCAACACAGCAGTACTAGGAAAGAACAAAAAGAGAAAGCACCAGGCAAGCAGTAGCAGGAAGGTGGGCTCAGGCACTGGCAGGGCAGCATGAGGGGGTGACCCCCATTCAACACTGACCCAAACCCAGAAATTGCAGAGATGGTTAGACAGAGGATGACAGGTTGTCGTGGTTTAAACCCAGTCAGGTAATTCGTTCGCTCACTTCCCCCCCTTTTCTTGCCCTCCCCCTGCTCTCGGAGGGATGGAGAGGAAAATCGAAAAGAATGCAACTCCCACGGGTTGAGATAAGAACAGTTTAGTAACTAAGGTATAACACAGATCACTACTGCTACCACCAATGATAATAATGATACAGGAAATAACAAGGGAAGAGAATACATCATCTCACCACCAGCCGACCGATAACTCGCCCCCCCAGCCCGACCAAGCTCTCACTGATACCTCCTCCAACCCTGCAGTCTCCCAGCCCTTCCGGCTAACTCCCAGTTACATCCTGGGCATGACGTGCTGTGGTATGGAATACCTCTTTGGTCAGTTTGGGTCAGGTGTCCTGTCTCTGCTTCCTCCCGGCTTCCCCTCCTCCCTGGCAGAGCATGAGGCTCACAAAGTCCTTGGCCAAACCTAAACATCACTATCAGCTCTGTTCCCAAGCTGAAAGTCAAAACACTGCACTGCACCAGCTACCAAGAAGGGGAAAAATGACTGCTACAGCTGAACCCAGGACACAGGTACTTTTAACATTGGACTATATACTTTATCATGCCCACTTTAAAAAACAGCCTACACTACATGTGGTAGCAGCACAGACATCTTTTCTCAACATCTGTGCCATGTATCAGATTTTTTCCAATTACATTTTCCTTTCTCTCTCTTTCTGATATTTTCCCTACACATTTGAAAAATATTGATTTTTCAGGAACAGTTGGAAAATCAGTCTAATTTCTACAGATTCCATCAACAGTCTTATTCGGTAACCAAAAACCTAGACGCACAGAGGACTGTTCACTCCTAAAGCCCTCTTTGGACATAGTTTTAAGGGGTATTTAGTACAACTGAAATGAGAGCTTGCAAGAGAAGGAAAGTGACATGTCAAACAGACAACAAAATTAGTAGTAAAAATAAAGCAGACATAGTGGGAATTTTGTACTGTCTCTGGAGAAAGTATTCTTGTATGACACTGATGTAATGTAGACTTTATAAGGATTTCAGACATTTAAGTACATATTCAGCTGTAACAGTACCTTTGTCAATTCCTTATTCCCATACGCAAGGGACTATGTTTGAATTTCTGGGATTGTTACACCACAAAGGGTTATGGCTCATAAAAGCTCATTATGGGAATCAAAAATGACCACCTTGCTTTGTTAAGGTCTGTTCTAAGTGCACCAGCAATGTTACAATCAAGACTTGATGGTATTTGTTCCTGCCATGCAAAAGAAATTCATTATACAATGTGCTTTCAGTCAGCATAAAAGTCTGATCTTTGAATAAGGACACAGTTCCTTACACATATTAAATGAACTGCGGGTATCAGTTTTACTGCTGCTGGGTAAACTTTGGTGTAGGCTGTAGTTGCTATGCATTATTTGTTCTTTTGTGCTTCTCAATTGCTAGCTATATGTTTGGTACTCTATAACAGTTGGAATAGAAAGATATTATAAAAACATAGGATTTTATAGCAAGATTAAGGAACACACAATTTTATTTATTTTATTTTCTTGGTGCTAATATTAGTCTTTTTCTAGTCCCTGTCAAGTAAAAGTCAGGTTAAAACAGCTAAATAAGCAATACATGGTGGCCTCATTGTTGTGGTATATGGATGTTCCACATAAAGGCAACAGATTAGTAAAAGGGGTTTGATGACGTTTGGGAGGATGGAAAATCAAGAGTGGTAGTGTCTGCTGAGGGAAATAAATGTAGAGACATAACAGAGACCCTTAGAATTGGAATGAAGTGTGAAAAAACTACTAAAGTGGACAGAAGTTATATTGATTCGATGTAATACCCACTGCAGTTCAAACAATGACAGCCAGACATTGGAAGTAATAGTCAGAATAACAAGAGTATGTTTGCATTTATGCCTAAAAGTTGAATAGGAGGCAGGACAGTGTCACCAATGTCATGGTTACAAAAAATTTGAAAGCTCTGACCATTAAATTGGAGGTAATCAGGCTATTGATAGGAATTATTGAATAAATAATGAATAACATCAAATGGTTAGGAACTTCTTAAACAGAAGATAGCCATACTGATTGTAGCAGTGACAGTGCTGGGATTTTTTTAGTCTTGACTTTAATTTCAGAAAAATGGTTATTTTTTGTTGGGATTTTCTTTTTTGGCAGGAAGGAGTAAAGAGGTATCAAAACAAAGCTTAATAAACTAATTCTCCAATATACTACATGTATTTTATGTAGTAAAGCCAAGAATTTGGTTTACTTCTACTGGGTCACATAACAGACATGCTCTCCATCATTACCAACCCTATGAACATTGGAAACCAGTGTAGTTTAAGGTAGAATATTAAGGGCTGTACTTCCCCTGTACATCACAGACTTCAGTTTGAGAGCAGAAGGCTACCGTTGTAGCAGTATCTTTTTATGGTATAAAACAAAGTGAAGATATCTCATAGAGAGATAAAGTTTGCCTTTCCAAAGGAAACCAGTTTTTAAAAGGTGTTTCTGGTTAAGTGTGTATATGAGTTTTCATGTCTTCAGAATACCATAAAAAACAGCTATTCAATTTTTAATTCAGGTAACTATCAATCAGGCAGCTCTCTGATATGAAATATAGATTTATTCATTAAAAGAGTTAACAGACAATGTTACTATTATTGTTACACTATTTCTTCCTCTGCAGATATTTATAAACAATGAGTGGCATGATTCAGTCAGTGGCAAAAAATTTGAAGTCTTTAACCCTGCAAATGAAGAGAAAATCTGTGAAGTTGAAGAAGGTGACAAGGTAAAGTTTTCTTTCTTGATCTTAACCCTAGCTTTAAATTTAATTTAACATCTTAAAAGCAAGAAGGCAAAAGACCATCTGTGTTGATGTAAAACACAGCCTCAGAGATGTACCTACTTCATACCATATATCTTCTGCAGACATAATTCTTAGCTTTTTTACTAAGCTTTAGTATTACTTGTAAACAGACACTGAAAAACTGCTTTACTTTTACGATTTTATTCATATAAGGAAAGTTTGAATACTTTTTTTTTTGTTAATTTTTTTTTAATAACATTTATCCTTTCTTATATTTGATCAGTAACATCTAATAATTTAGCTGGAGTTTTTTGTTATTTTTCCGTGGCTTTTTCTTACACAGTGATGTAATCTGTCCATTACACATTTAAATAAGGCTTTTATTATGGATGAAAATATAAAGAAATATTAAAAAGATACATTTTCCCACACAGACTCTATAAGGATGATCTTCTCAGTATTGCCCCTTCATATATTTGTCTCTGTGAAAAATGTATTGAACATGGTTCTAAAAACATCTGAAACTGAAAGTAAACTATCACATAGACAGCAATTCTACCAAAAACAGTTTCTTTACGTCATGGTGAATTGATGAATTTTAAGCAGTGGACTACAAAAATTGTTGACTCATATCCCACTAGAAATGTATGCAGTTTTGATACAAAATGATATGTCTTCTGCCTCTTCTCTGTTCAGCATTCAAAACCAAACTACATTGCAAATCAAGTTGGGCTGACATTTGATCATCCTCAAATTAGATTACTCATGACCTGCAACTGTTCACTTACCATTCAGAACTTTTGTAACCTTCATTCCCTACAAGTAATCTAACAACTCCTTAAATAAAGAGATAATACTGTTCGACACACAGGTTTGCTTTCCAATAATTTTGCAAACTAATGTGTAATGACAACTGCTATTAACTGAATTGCCAAGTGAAATGTACAAATCTAGTAAATTACACAGTCATTGTGAACCTAATATTTTAGAGCCTAGTCTTTAGATAATGAGCCAAGAGATTCGAGGAATTTAATTTGTGTGTACAATGGGGTTGACAAAGAGTTGTACACTGCCTTAGAGTGGTATTTAAAAAAAGCAAGTGGAGATTAGAAAACACAGACACATCTGTGGGTGGGAACCGTTTTCCTTTCAGTTTGGTGGCTCTTTCAAGCTACATTTGCTAATCCTGAAGGCCTCTGGTAATAATAAAGCAGCTCAACAAATGGTCAGTGGGACGTAAAGTAAATGTACTTCTGCAAAAATTCTAAATTAGCTCTGAAAGGAGTTATCAAGTTTTAAACTCATGGTGTAGATGTGCCCAAATTTTCATACAGTTGAAGAACATCTTTTTTCCTTGATTTTCATTCAGAGGCCTATATTAGCTTTATATTATTTATATTGGGTTTAATTATTTCTGTACTTGCAGTACAAAGAGCACAGGGCACTGTATCAAGTCTTAATTTGTATCATTCTCAAGATTTCCCTTGTTCTTTTCCAGCAAAGGCCAACGCATATCCCCCAAAGACATATTGCAAAGCTGTAGAATATTTATGATAAAAAGAGATGAGAAAATAGTAGAATGAAATAAATAGCAATTTTCTGGGTCACACATAGGTGATGAGGTATTTCACGACACTGTGATAGATTCTGAAGAAAAGCAATTCTTTTTAATCTCATAGATTGCAGCAACGATTGCAGCACCCTGATGTACGTGACTGGTCAGTTTTACCCAATAGTAATGACTATTACTATTTGTGCAGAACCTATTTGTGGTTCTATAGGGGTTTTTTGGACAATTTGTGGAGAATCTTCCTATCTTTTCCCAGACTTCTGGGAAGTTCTGTGGACCTCTCCTGCCTAGCAGGTCTGTGCTGGACTTTCTAAGCCACTTACCCCGCACCTGGCTTTTAAAAATTAGTTGTCATCTACCAACATCAGTTAAAGATTCAAGATCTGGTTCGCAGTTAGCACAACTGACGTGGGTGCTGACTTTGTCAAATTTGCTGACATATTCAACTTTTATAGTGATTTCCCTGGAGGACACTCTAGCAACCAGCAGTATAAAAAATAGTTCAAAAGAAATCCTTCACATAACGCATGGAAATTGCTCACAGAAATGTGCCATGTATAGTTTCCTCCTTTTTTTTTTTTTAATTTGTTTTAACTTTCTAACAAAAAAAAAAAAACTAGAATAAACCTCCTTTTTATGTAAATTTTTTTTCTGGAAAAAAAAATACAGAAATTGTGAAATATAGAATCTTTCCAAGTGCAAAAATCCTTTTCTCAAAAGATGTTTAACTAGTTTTTTTGTTTCCTGGAATACACTTGCACAGAAAAGAGTTTTCTATTATTCATTGTGAATTTTCCTTCTATAGCAAAATCCAAATGGCAAATCATAAATTAAGCTATAAAAAACATTAATGAACTGACACATTAGCTTGCGTATTGCAAAGACCATGCTTAGACTTTGAAATATACATAGTCTTAACTTTTAAACCTCATCAATTAGTCAATTGTTTAAATTATTTTAAATAGAAATGTTCCTTAAAGCTTTCTATACCAAATGCATTGATTTGTTTTCCTCAATTCTAAATTGGTGTTTAGGTTATGAATCATCCTAAAGAACAGATTTTTCTAACTTGGTCTTCATCACACCACCACTTTTAGGTAAAGCTGAGTATTTAAATATGTAACCTACAGGTTTGGGCATCTCTTTGTTCATAGAAAAGATTTGATCATCAATGTAATTGGTGGGTATATCCCTAATTACAGACACTAGCAAGTGGGTGATTTGAAAATCTAAATTTTAAAAATAGAGATCCTCAGTGTGTTTCTATTTTAGAAGCTTTGAGAACCCATCTGGTTTTCATACATCTTTGCATTGCTGAAATGATAGCAAAAGTGTCTGAATGAAAATAACCCATATATTTAATATTATTGTACTTGACAGAATCAATTATTGATTATAAAAGTTTCTCTGTTTTCCCCACAGGCAGATGTAGACAAGGCTGTTAAAGCAGCTAGGAAAGCTTTTGAGCTTGGGTCACCCTGGCGTACAATGGATGCTTCAGAGCGAGGAAGGCTCTTGAATAAACTAGCTGACTTAGTTGAAAGAGATCGGGTGATTTTAGCTGTGAGTATGATACATGAGCAAAAAGACTGGGAGAAAAGCCTATGTCTTATTCTTAAAGAAAGATATAAGCAAATATAACTGCTAAATCCTTGGAGTCGGGATGTCTCAATACTTGTTTTTCATCTGTGTTGTAAATGGACCTCAATAAATTGTCTTACACTCTGGTCTATTAGCACCCCACATCCAAAAATTACTCGAGTATTTGATTAACTTCAAGGTGATATTTTAGCCACCTACACCTGGTGCAAGATCAATTACTGATTCTTAAAGACACATTAACATGGACCACATGCTTAACACATCTAAAACAAAGCCTGAACTAAGGCCTGACCTCAAAGCCTGACCCAGCACTTTCAGATGATATAGGCCAGAACTAGGAGAAATTTTGAATTTCAAGGCCACGCATTTTGTTGTCATTGGTCCTTTATTAAGTCCTGCTAACAACTGGCAATGAGCAGAAAGCCTTAACCAGAATCAAAGGCAGCAATGGATTATTTCCTAGTAGGAAGAACATGGGTGGTGAGGAATGATGTCCTGTCATTACCAGTTACTGTGTATCGGACATTTTGCCGTTCTTAACAGCAGACACATGAGGTACAGCACCACCACCTACTGATTGTGCATTATGGAAGAAAGAAGATTTAAAATAGAAATCAACATCAAATTTTTTGATAGTGTAGTATTCCCCCCACCCTTCTTTGAAACCCCACATATGATGCTACCATTAAGGTGATGTCTTTGGTACTTCAAGCACTCTCTGAAGATGAAACTTAGTTTTCTGCCAACAGTGTCAAAAATTTGAGAGAGCAGGAGGAGTACCCAGCCTTCAGGATCATCAGGCTGACTGATCTAATCACAGTTTGAAGCATTTAGCTCTTAAAGACAAATCGCACCACTGATAAGCTCAAAAATTAAAACTATCAAAATATGTAAAATCTGCAAAGAATCTATTGCCCATTCTATTGTCCTTATGGGCTGTAGTATAGAAAGATACTTGCATGTGTCCCAAACAGGTTTTTAAAATAAAAATGAACATTCAAAGAAATTAAGGTTATGTCCTTCAATTCCAAAAGTCTGCAGCTTTCCAATTTACACTTTTCTTCAACAAGGTTATTTCTTTAAGTGAACTTTGTCACCTTGATAGGACTAATAATCACATAGTATGTCAGGAGAAAACCTGGGTGGCTAGAACATATACTCCTAAAAATGCTAGATATATTGGAATTGAAAGACAAAAGCTTTTGAGAGAGTTACATTTTTAAAAAGAAGTGTATGCCCCCTTGCCCATTAAATACTGAGCAAGCTAGCATTTGCATCTTTCTGGTACAACCTAAGGAATTACTCATACAAAGAGGATGGAAAAATAATCTTTTTTCCACAGAAAAGCCAAAACATTAAGTTAGTTTTTGTTCACAGTTGCCATTTTCATAGCATGAAAGTACTGCTCTTCTCCTGGGCCCCTCCTAACTTTGTATTTTAGTGACTGTTTTTATTTCCTACACCTTACTCATATTATTGACTACTTTCCCCCTTTAAATAAGGTGTGTTTGAATGAAATATTTTTCAGACTTCATCAGAATCAAGAGAGATTTTCTCCACTCACAACTTAATCCTAAACGTAGAACTACTACTACAGAATAGCAAATAGGCTTGCAAACAACAGAGGTCAAAACAGAATCCTAAAGCTCATTGCAAAGGGTTTTCCTGAGTTTGTGCATCTAGCCAGGATCAAAATTATTCCATTTCAGTGTTTCACATACTAAGGTATGTATAAGATGTCTCTCCTGAAGCTCCAGAGGCTAACCAACCTTATAGGCAGGCTACGGGAAGAAAAAGTCGAAACACTGAAAGAGCCACTGAGAACTTTTTTTTCCTAGGTTTCAGTCTGTTGTGATGTTCAAAGCTATAGTGTTCATAAGTTTGAGAAAGGCAAGAATTTTCTCCCATGTCCAAACAAAACAAAGCAATGCCAAACATATTGCCTGGAATGTCAAGGGTATATCTCATTTAATCAGTTCCTTGTTAAAAACTATCAAGCATTGCAGACTTCTCTGTTTGTTCTCTTCTCTTCCCAAATATGATATCTGCATTGTTTCCAGTTAACTAAAACTGCAGACTTCGCAGAGAAGTATGTTGGTGTAATTGCAGGACCAGTTTGTAGACTCAGCCTAAAATGTTAAAAAATCCTCAGGCATAAAATATAACAAATTTAGAAAAGAAAATATTTCTAAGATCTGACTAGACCTTGCAAATATAGTTGGGGGTTTTCCTACTAAGTAGGAACAATCATACAGCATTGTTAACAAAGCTGAAGGTCTCCAGTGTCTGTGTGCTAGAAAACTTGAGAAAAAAAATCTAGCAGTGTCAATAAGTTGTTAACATTCTTTCAGAACTGCACATGGTATTTAACTAGATGTCCCCAAAATTAGGGATATTGAAAAGCCATTAATCCAAACCATGTTCCCTAGATTTGGCTGGAAATCAACCCTATTTAGTGCTGGTGTCTCTGTGGGTGGAACAGAATCCGTCAGCTGAAAAGTTATATGTTGAATGAATATTCTCTGATTTTTATTCTAAAGGCTTATATCTCCCTGGCATGATGATCCATAGAATGGAGAGTCAGGCCTGGGTGTAAATAATATCAGTTAGTTCACTCAGTCAGTAGACAGTCAATAAAAGAGAGTCTCTTCTCTGCAAGTATTTATTTTTCATAATGAATTTTTCCTGGTTAAGAGGCCTTGATAGCTCAGAACTTTCACTTGCACATCAAACGTTCAAGGTATTTTATTCTATGCTTTGCATCTTCTTGCTCATATGAGTTGCTAATCATGCATTTATTAAGCATCTAGAAAGATGTCCCTTAATAATTATGCAGCACAGGGTCCTAAATTATTGTGCCAGTTATTTTCAGGAAACTAGCACCTACCTTGGATGTCAGCGCACATAGGCTGAGGGAGGCCGCTCATTTTATTTGCATCAGTTATTTGTACAGACTCCTAGCTGACCTTTTCATCTGCGCTCGTAGAATGTTCAGTATAAACTATAACAGAATAACTGATTCAGGTGTGAGAAATGTTACTGATTTTTAGGAACATCTCGTCATTACAAATGTGAATAAAACATCATATAAATTTCTCATTTGTAAATTCCTACCTTGGGTCTTTCAAATGCTATGTATCCTGCAGATGACAACCAATCTAAATTCTGTACTAACGCTGAAAACCTTTGAACTCAAAAACTTAAATCTAAATGACAAAGTACAAGCATGAGAACCATTATCAACTTTTGATATTAACTTTGTAATTGCTGTTGTCTGCAGACGATGGAAGCCATTGATGGTGGGAAACTCTTTTCCACTGCCTATCTAATGGATTTAGGTGCCTGTGTCAAAACATTACGCTACTGTGCAGGCTGGGCTGATAAAATCCATGGGCGTACTGTACCAATGGGTGAGTATTTCTGAGATAACAAAAGTACAGAACTGAAATCCAATGTGATCTGTGAAAAACTGCCTTTTCCTAAAGTTGTGCAACACACAAAGAAAATGTCAAATGGAAAATATTTTCCTTCTTAATATAGATTATTTAAGATATAGCATAAAGCTCATTTTAAATATTTAGTGCAGTTACCCACATTTATTTATCTATTACACCACTGATAAGTACTGGTTATTCACTAAAAGGTTTTTTCATGTACATGCAGCTAAGAAGTCTGGTAGGTTACTTTTGCATAGCAGTGTGTAGTTTATGCAGTGGTACAGTAATTGAAACCAGGTATTTGCTTAATAAATCTAAAATTAGAACAAATTGATATTTGTTTCAGCTACTGGATAATGTATTAAGAAGCATCCGAAGAGGCAGGAATGAGGAAACTATTCCTTTATTTAGCTGAAATTTCATTCCATTCCTTCTCCTATTAAGTAGCTCTATAAAAACATTGTTTCTAGCTGCCTTCTCTCAGAAGGACAAAAAGAAGAGTGTAATAAAGAAGGAATTAAGGAAAAACGGAGTGATAAATACTCCCAATTTTTTGCATCATGTAGATCTCTATACTAGGTTTAATGAAACGTTTATTTGAATCAAAGAGAATTTTATACTTAATGAATTTGATATAAGCCAAGAGCTAATATTAAAAAGTGTGATACATACCCAGGGTTGCAAGTAGCTTTTAAAAGAGCACTTCTCCCCCCCCCCCTCCCCCCCCGCAAAAAGGTGCTAAAAAGAAATGAGGAATGTTCATTGGTGTGCTGTGCATACCACACTGAGAACCACAGTTATCACTGCAAAAATTCAGTCAGACTGGCAGAATCAAACTTTGGAGACAGGAAAGTAGATATTGAATCCAGATGTACTTTATGGTTGGGTTGTTGTTTTTTTTTTTGCACAGATTTTAAAATTACCATCTATAAGTAAAATTGTTTCCAGCTAAATTTGGTATCCAACTTTATCTTTTTTCTGATTTAACTGTTCCTCACAAATACTTTGTCTGAATGTCTAATTTATTTCTTCTTCCCCCCCAGATGGAAACTTTTTTACATTTACAAGACATGAGCCTATTGGTGTGTGTGGCCAAATTATTCCTGTAAGTTGGAGCTAGCTATGCAAAACACAAATGTTCCTGTTACAAATATGTATGTTACATTTTCTATGTAAGTGCATTTCTGAAACATTGTCAATCAGAAATTTTCAGGTCCTGAAAGAGACTATCCTGAGTACTAATCGAATTCTGCAACATAGAGATTTTAATGGATCAGTCTTGTCCAGCTTTGTCTCTTTCCTCCCTGTATATGGGGGGGAAATCAACCTCAAAATTTTGATGGACGGATTAGTTTGAAAGAAGAATTGTGATTTGTTGGAAAGGAAAGAATTAGAAACAAACAAGTAGGAGAGGGTAGCAGTTACAGCCTATGAGCAAATAAACTCTTTAGGACCTGGAATATCTGCTCCGCTTTGAACTGCATTCAGACAAAAGAACATGTCCAATAAGCACAATGATACTTAATCATATGTTCCCAAGTTCCTGCTTGGAGTGTCTGAATTCCCAGTTTTGAAGACACTTCTTTTAAGTAAAGATTCAAAAGTCCTGCCTGAGTCTGAAAGTTCAGAACACCAAGGAACTCAACTTTTATATTTACATTTTTTTGTGAGATCTACAAAGCTTCAGTGGGTTGCTGTGAAAATGCTTACATGCACTTGGCACACCTAATCCACGCACCTCTTCGTACGTGTGAGCAACCTGACCTGACCTGCTCAGCAGCTTACCAGATTCTGAAATAGTTGTCTTGTCTGTCAGATTTGCTCAGACATGTGGGTCCCACACGTTCCTGATGTCTTTCAGTTGAGCTTGCAGATTTGTTACCCCTTTAGACCACCACACTGATTTAGAGACCATCAGTGGAATATGTTTGGATCCAGCATCTTAGAGAGCTTGGGATTCGGCTGGTTTAGATTCTCTGGTAGGTCAGTCACAAGATATTTTAAATAAAGCACTCAAACTCAAGATATGCTAAATTACATTAAACATTAGATGTGACCACTTCAAAATAAAATTTCATCCAAGAATTATAAGCAGTTAGTGCAAACATGAGCTTCACTTAAAAGATGTTCAAGTACTTCCAAGTACATCTTTATTTTTTCTCCATTGAATTGTCAACCCACTAAGCTGGATGTTTTTATATAAACCAAAAACTTTGAGGAACATGTGAATCCTGCAAAACACTTCTGCGAACTCATCATTTCTATTTCCCTTTCACACATTCAGTTCCACTCTAATGATGATGATCCAGAAAAACCTGTGATGTCTTATTCTGTGTTATTTGTTCTCCTGTTGTTTTTTGGGGTGGGGTGAGACTGAAATGGGAGAAGGAAATAGATAAAGAACGGTTGCATGTACACTATTCCAAGCCTTTCTGACATAATAGTCAACTGTTAACTGCCTTTTCCCCCTCTTTCGTAAAGGTAAGTCTACTGTGTCTTTTGTACTGAGGCTCATGGGCTCACTGCTTTCAACACTATCAAAAATATTCTCAAAAGGACAACCCATTTTCTAATCAGCCACATTGTCCCTTGTACTGCTGAATATGCAGCCCAAAGGAGTCTGCTGCTCTGCAGTCTGGCTGTACTGACCTCAAGAGTAAAACTTCCAGGAAAGAGGGCAGGGGCAGCATTATTACCTTGTCTCCTTTAGAAAATTGGATTGACGACTGATGTGATCATTTAAGATAGCAAAGCTCCCACTTACACCCCTAATCCAGCACCTTTCTATAAAGCTTTGTTAGATGAGAACGCTCATTTTCTCTTGAGGTTTTAACTAAGGCCTTGAATCCCCTGGACTAACATATACCAAAATCACTGGTCTTTGTGTAACATGGCTTGCCAGTTGCTTTTTCACAAAATCTTCTTTTTGAAGAGAGTTCAACAAAGTGTTCAACGACCCAGTTGACAATTCCCACTATTATCATAGAAAAAGCAAAGGCATTTTGGTGATGTATTAGAAATAGGATATACCTTCTCATCTGTCTTTCAGTGGAACTTCCCATTGGTTATGTTCATGTGGAAGATCGCCCCTGCTCTTTGTTGTGGAAACACAGTGGTTGTCAAACCAGCAGAACAGACCCCACTGACTGCCCTTTACATGGGATCCTTAATTAAAGAGGTAAGTCTTCAACAACAGATTTTTTTACTCTTCTCAGAAATGTAAGCATATACTGCAGCTGAAATGCCACAGAGGTAATATAAGCCAGGCTGTCCTCTGCAAGCACTTCTTGCATGTCTAGCCTTGTACTATGGAACTTACCCTTAATGTAAACCAGTGAAGCCAACCTAGGGCAAAAGCACGCATATCTTTCAGCCTAGTTCACACACAGAAAAAACCCTCACAATCACAGTTTAGTAAACTCTGTTCCTTAGCAAACATATTTGTATTACAAAAGCGTTATTCAAAGTCAAAGCAAACACAGAGTCAAGAGCAGAGTACTTAGAGGTGGGTGGCAATGACTTTATTAACATAGTTATCACAGAAAAGGACCTGTTTGTACAGCATTTTTTTTCCCTTGTTCCTTTTTTTTTTTTATTGAACAAACTTTTTCCACCCAGGTTTATTATTAACAGGGAGCTGTAAAATTGAACTAGAGACTGCTGCCAAACTTGTGAACTCTCTTCACACAGAAACTGGGCAAATACACTCTATGCTCTTGAACACGAGGAGTGTGGCAATTTCTGCAGTGTCTCCAAAGTTTCATTGACTATTGTGCTCAGCCTAGCAAATACCCAAAGAAGAACACTTAAATAGTTTAGCTACCTTGCTTCCCAATAAAATCAACAAATGTTATCTAACATGTTTGAAGAGTCTGCACATATGTCAATAATCACAAGTGCAGTAACCTTGAACAGTGTTAATGGAAATTACTTGCCATATTTTATTATTCTGTTTCAAAACAATGATTCAGCAGAGCAAACTGACCAGTTATGTGTTAATATTTCACAGAAACTAAATGACTATCAGGAAGGAGTCAAGTCCTACTTGTTATTGCATCACATAGTAAATGCTGTTAGATAATACCGGGAAGGAACAATTGTTTTAAAAGAAATATCAGAAATATCTTTTTTTTTTAATAGCATGCATAAGAAAGTTTATTTCTCTGAAAAAGCAACTTCACAGAGAAAGTAACTCAGTTCTGATCCAAGTTGGACTAAATATTTGTTTTGATATTCTGATTTCCTGAAAAGAGAGCTCATAAGGGGGAGTGTGATCATCCTGTACTCAAAGAGTTACAGAGTGGTAGTGATTGGTATAACACTAGAACATTTTTAGTAAAAGGCAATATGATTCTTAGCTTACCCATCCATTCAGTGTTTAAGTGGATGAGAACCTTAAGTATATAATTATGTCTTTGGTATATTATATGGTAAATATTGTGGAGCTTTAAAAAAAAAGACAAATATTTATCTTAACAAGTCCTTCAGGATTTATTCACTCAAGCCTAGTTGCATTTTAATTTACACCCAGATTACCCAAATAAAGTTAGACCCCAAATCCCTGATAGTGATCAAATCCTCAGTGATCACTTCAGTAGCTGATTTAGACTCCTGAAACTATCTATTCATCTATCTAACTTTCTACTTCTCATGTGTCCACACTTGTGACTTTTAGTAATCCTCACCATCTTTCTGAATAGTTGGCACAAGGCTCCTTTGCTAATATGGAGAAAACAGCTTCTAATACAGACATGGAAATTAAATGCCCAAAGTGAGACAGTGTGAATTAATCCCATAAAAAATACTCTTCTCACTTTTGTCTACAAATTCTGAAACACAATGCTAAGCAAATGGAAGGAACTTCATTCTCTCATTAGCTCTGGGATAAGTATTAATCTGGAATATTAAATGAGCAGAAAAAAAAAAAAATCAATAAAATGTATCTGAGCATGAACCTGTAAGGAAAAGAAATTGCTCAAACAAAAGTAGTTGCCTGGTGTCCATAACGCAGTACATGAAATTGAGGAACTTTAATTCCCTGGCTGAAATCCACAATTTTCTAAACGTAAATGGAACCTCTGCATGTAATTCCAAAGTCCTGATTAATGTTAAAAAGAGACTCATTTAAGTGATAACACAGGAAATACAACTTTTTGGCCTTCTAATTCTAAGCTTGCTCTCTGAGTGACATTGAGATCTATAGCTGCTTCGTAAGCCAAGAAATCCTGCCCCAGTTCACACACCTGTGAGAGTTTGTCTGACAAGCTCTTGGAAGAAGGTAACTTCTTTTGCCTGTGAATGAAACATGACAAATACAGAATTGGTGGGGGAAAAAAATGTTTGATTTGGCTCACAGAAAAAGGCTTTTTAAACAAAAAAGTGGTAAGATATTGAATTTTCTATATGTCAGCCAGTTTTTTTTGTGGTTGTAGCCTATCTACCTCTTCTGTGCTTCAAATGCTCATGTTGCCACTTGTCCTGGGTTTAGCAGTAGCAGTCAATTTTTCTCCTTCTTGGTAGCTGGTGCAGCTCTGTGTTTTGACTTCAACCTGGGAACAGTGCTGATAACACCGATGTTTTAGATTGTTGCTAAGTGATGTTTACCCTGACCAAGGACTTTGTGAGGCTCCTGCTCTGCCAGGGAGGAGGGGAAGCTGTGAGGAAGCAGAGACAGGACACCTGACCCAAGCTAGCCAAAGAGGTATTCCATACCACAGCACGTCATGCCCGGGGTGGGGGTAACTGGGACTTACCTGAAAGGACACGGGCTTCTGGATCGGACTCGCTTCTCGGCGGGTGGTATCGTATTCTCTTCCCTTGTTATTTTCTCTTATCATTGTTGTCGTTGGTGGTAGCAGTGGTGATTTGTGTTGTACATTGGTTGCTGGACTGTTCTTGTCGCAACCCATGGGAGTTGCACTCTTTCATTCTCCTCCCCATCCCTTTGGGAGTGTGGGGGGGGAGGGGTCTCGATTGTTGTCAGCCCTGCACCACTCACTGGGAGTGTGTGAACAAGTTGTCTGGCTAGGGTTTAAATCACGACAGATATTTTTGGCACCCAGCATGGGGCACGAAGTGTTGAGGTAATGACAGATCTGTCCAGATTAATAGTCATTAGTCACAATGTTGATTTATTGGCTCTCAAAGTTGTTCCCCTTGATCTCACAGTTTCAGTATATCATATCTTACTTCCATCCGGTATTTGTTGTATTGGTGTTTTTCAAGTGTGGGGCTTGGGCTAAGGTTTTTGTCTCATTGTACTTTATGGTAATGATTTGCAATACAATAGAATCATTGATCATGAAACTGATCTGGCTTATGTTCCCAGTGTGGTCACCACCTTTATACTCTGGGAGGTATATAATAGAAGTGCTTAGCAATTACACATCTTTTTTCTCCTTCTAAGGTGCTCAACCTGTGAAGGAGACATTCTTATACCCTCCCAGTCCTTCCACCAGACCATTTACATTTGAGAGTTTTGAAGTTTTTGAATGGCCTTTTAATGCTGTTGAGACTTGTTTGCTGATCATGATGGGGATCACCATGTTGGCACGCATACAGAGTGTATTTTGCCCACGACTGATTTCAAGAGTTAAGCAGAGTCAGGTTTGGGTCTTGTCTGGGGTCAAACGACAATATAGGAGGACCAAGAGATTTTCCCTGAGGCTGGTGCATGGTAGGGGATGTGATATACCCACTCAATGCCGTGCCCCTTGGCCCAAATGTCTATAAGGTTACTCCGGAAATGAGTCCCATTGTCTGACTCAATTCTCTCTGGGGTGCCGTGTCGCCACAAAATCTGTTTTTCAAGCCCCAGGATAGTGTTCCGGGCAGTGGCATGGGGCACAGCATATGTTTCCAGCCACCCGGTGGTTGCTTCCACCATGGTAAGCACATGGCTCTTGCCTTGGTGGGTTGGTGGCAGTGTGATATAGTCAATCTGCCAGGCCTCCCCATATTTATACTTCAACCATCGTTCTCCATACCAAAGAGGCTTTAACCGCTTGGCTTGTTTAATTGCAGCACATATTTCACACTCATGAATAACCTGGGCAATAGTGTTCATTGTCAAGTCCACCCCTCGATCACAAGCCCATCTATATGTTGCATCTCTGCCCTGATGGCCTGAAGTGCCATGGGCCCACCGGGCCAAAAATAATTCATCTTTATGCTGCCAATCTAAGTCCATCTGAGCCACGTCAATCTTAGCAGCTTTATCCACGTGCTGGTTGTTCTGGTGTTCCTCAGTGGCCCTACTCTTGGGTACATGGGCATCTACATGACGTATCTTCACCACCAGGTTCTGCACCCGGGCAGCAATATCTTTCCACAGTGCAGCAGCCCAGACAGGTTTACCTCTGCGTTGCCAGTTGCTCTGCTTCCATTGCTTCAACCACCCCCACAGGGCATTTGCCACCATCCATGAGTCAGTATAGAGGTAAAGTACTGGCCACTTTTCTCGTTCAGCCATGTCCAGGGCCAGCTGGATGGCTTTCACCTCGGCAAACTGACTCGATTCACCCTCTCCTTCAGCAGTTTCTGCAACTTGTCGTCCAGGACTCCATACAGCTGCCTTCCGTCTCCGATGCTTTCCCACAATACGGCAAGAGCCATCAGTAAACAAGGCATACTGCTTTTCACTTTCTGACAGTTTATTATATGGTGGGGCCTCTTCAGCACGCATCACCTCCTCCTTTGCCCTCTGGCCAGTCCATGATGACTTCTAGAATGCCTGGACGACTGAGATTTCCTATTCGAGTTTGTTGAGTAATTAGTGCAGCCCATTTACTCCATGTAACATCAGTTGCATGATGTGCAGAGGAGACCCTGCCTTTGAACATCCACCTGTTGTGGTTTAAACCCTAGCCAGACAACTTGTTCACACAATCCCAGTAAGTGGTGCAGGGCTGAAAGCAATTGAGGCCCACACACACACACCCCCCCCCCCCTCCGGGGCTCTCCCCTTCCCCTCTCCCAAAGGGATGGGGAGGAGAATCGAAAGAGTGCAACTCCCACGGGTTGAGACAAGAACAGTCCAGCAACCAATGTACAGCACAAATCACCACCGCTACTACCGACGACAACAATGATAAGAGAAAATAACAAGGGAAGAGAATACGATACCACCCGCCGAGAAACGAGTCTGACCCAGAAGCCCGTGTCCTTCCGGGTAACTCCCAGTTACCCCCCACCCCAGGCATGACATACTGTGGTATGGAATACCTCTTTGGCTAGCTTGGGTCAGGTGTCCTGTCTCTGCTTCCTCACGGCTTCCCCTCCTCCCTGGCAGAGCAGGAGCCTCACAAAGTCCTTGGTCAGGGTAAACATCACTTAGCAACAATCTAAAACATCGGTGTTATCAGCACTGTTCCCAGGCTGAAGTCAAAACACAGAGCTGCACCAGCTACCAAGAAGGAGAAAAATTGACTGCTACTGCTAAACCCAGGACACCACTCTACTTTCAAACCATGTTCAGAGGAAGAAGCAAGGGCATGCAGTTTGAAGTACTGTTTCCATCACTCTTCTTAATAGAATTTCAGTGTAAGCTGGCAGTCATTAAGTTGCATCTAGAATGAGGGATAATGACCAGATGTAAGCAATCACACAGGATGATTCAAATAGCTGTAATATAACAGACATGAAATGAAACAATCTTTTTTTACTTAAACATTTGACTGGAAGAGCAAACTAAAAATAAATTTATTCCTTGGCAATGGCACTAAAAAGAACTAAAATTAAATGTTCTGTTTTTTAAAAAAAAGATCCAAAAAGATCAAAAGGCAGGTGAGGGAAAGAGGGCAGAAATCGTGTGAGAATACACACATTTGGGGCTCTAGGGTTAAGAATAACTGTATGACTAAGAAAATGTGAATGGAGAACTGGAAAGGGAAGATTATATGAGACAAGTTCTTTCTGTTATTATCCTTCCTAAAATTTACAGTATTCTCTCTTCCAACTCAGGCTGGATTTCCACCTGGAGTGGTGAACATTGTGCCAGGCTTTGGACCCACCGCTGGAGCAGCAATTTCTCACCACATGGATGTAGATAAAATAGCTTTCACAGGCTCTACAGAGGTACTATAATGACAGCACGAGACTATGTGCAGGAAACATGCCCCTCTGACAGTAATGATTTAATGTCTAAATTGTTCTATGTAACTTTTACTTTTTCTCTTTCTTTTGGCTGCTGATTTGTTAAACAAAGTCTGTTTAATGATTTGTTGGTTATTATTAACTTCAAACATATTTAAACAATGTTTGTATTTCAGGAAAGACCTTCAAATAAGGCAATCCATGAGATACAACAGCTTATAATGTACTAAAGCTAGTTTAAGTCTTGTCCTTTAAAAAAAAAAAAACACAAAAAAAAAACACATTTTCATAACTTTTTGGGTTTTTTTGGTTTTTTTTAAGAATAATTATTTCTTAAAATGCAAAGAGTGAAACAGTCTGTGCTCTGTTCTCTTTAATGTTAATAACAACAGGATGGTAGGGGGTTACTTCAGAAATCTCATTGTTGCATGCACTTGGGTGAGGTGATGGCTTTTTGGTATTTGAATGATCCTAATCATCAGCTGGGTGGTCTTGGAAGTGATTTTGAATATGTATCATTTTAATAACTGAAAGACAGGTCACTGTTAATTTCCCCTAACCTTAACTTTGAAATGACTGATTTTAGAGCTGCCAACTGGCCTCCTGTCTGGTGTACCCTCCAATGATAAATATCATGGTCTTATGTCAAGGGTCCATACACAATGAATGCGACAGCTGTGTTTACACCTAGAAACCTTTAGCTCTGAAATAAAGGGAAAAGACAATAACTGAGAAATATCTCACAGGTGTTTCCAATGGACAGTAACAACTACAATTCCCAGTGCCCTCTGCACCTCCAAAGGGAGGTGGACCAGAAGGTGTAATCGTACACTTCGGTGATGTTCCTGTTCACCAAAGACAGTGAAATTTAGCAGTGAGAAATTAGGCAGGAAGGCTGCCAGAAGGAGGAAAATATCTCATGTTTGCCCCACATGAGCAGTTACAGGCCAAAACCACAAGGGCTACAAGCATGTTTTCCCTTCATAGTTTTTCCAGGACAATTCATATTAGGTATTTGCTTTAATTATGTCATCAATGGAAAGAAGCAGGGTAGGGGTTCTGCCTCACAATGTTCATTTCCTCTTCTTTCTTCTAAGGGAGATTCTGAAATAAGGAAGATTTGGCCGTGCAGGCAGTGTAGATATCTTCTTTTTCTCTCATACACTTTGTGCATCAAAGGGCTTTCCCATGTATAAACCAGAGGAATTTCAAGCTAATGGGGGCGACTGGCAAAGCAGAAATCAGTGCCTACGCATAATTCAGATACAAGCAAGTAGAATGGTGGCAACCAAAAAAGCATCAGACATATTTAGTAGTTAACCCAAGTGTGTCTAGGGGGAAATTATTCCGGCAAGCATTACTGCTTCACAGACTGCAAGTCACCTCCACCCTGACTCTTCTAGGAAGTATTCCTGGTGCATAAACCACAAATTAGCTGTACTCTCTTCTTTTTATTTTCATTCATATATTTATTTATTTATTCTTTCTGCAGTTACTGGGATCGCAGACAACTGTGAACTGATTTTCCCTTTTGAGGAACTCCGAGAAGTGTTATGGAAGTCATAACAAAATTTTTAAGATAAAGCTGTCTTCTCCCTACATTTTAGGTTGGCAAACTGATTAAAGAAGCAGCAGGAAAGAGCAATCTGAAAAGAGTTACATTGGAGCTTGGAGGAAAAAGTCCCAACATTATATTTGCGGACGCAGACTGTTAGTAACATTTTTGTTACATAAACATATATAAACATACTACTCTTTCAATTACCACATTCTTTTTGTTTTCTTTGTTAATAAATCATATGTATATGTTTAATGAAGCAGTAATTTTTAAGGTTTTCTGGTCACACTATAGTTTTAAGTTAGACTGCCACCAAAAATTGGTGACTCATGAATGGATATGAACCTCTGACAACCTGTGCACCCTAATATGCAGAATGCAGAACCAAAAGCAGCTAGATGGATGTTATATGGGTTTATTAACTATCTAGCTAAATAATCCTCTTGGTACTGCTAAAAAGGTAATGTTGAATCTACATTTCACAAAGAGCAGCTGAATGTGTGTTTGCCTAGGGGCACCATGCTACTCTTAATAAAAGCAGTTTTGGGCAAAAGTAAATGGATGACTATCTGTATTACAAGGTATTACTTAAAAATAGGAAGCACTAAAAAGGGAAAAGGGATGGAGTGACAAAGTTTTGTAAGGAGTTTATGACCATTCAAGTTTACAATCTGATGAACTCTGCATTTCTTTGCAGTGGACACCGCTGTGGAATTTGCACATATTGGTCTGTTCTACCACCAGGGGCAGTGTTGTATAGCAGGATCTAGGATTTTTGTGGAAGAGCCTATTTATGACGAGTTTGTTCGACGAAGCATTGAACGAGCAAAGAAGTATACTCTTGGAAATCCTCTGTTGCCTGGTGTACAGCAAGGCCCTCAAGTAAGTAATGTGATGTGTTTCCAATATAATTGCAATGTGACAGCACAGTTTAATCTACTTCTATACCTATTGTTGCATTAACTTCAAGGCTAAGTGCAGCTGTCTAGTGATTAGTCTGGAAGACCAAGAGAATGAAGCACGAGACATGACCTTCTGTGACACTATCATAGGCCTAAGGATGAGGTTTCTTTCTCTCTTCTAGTTGCTTTTATTACAGAATGGGAACAATTATATAGAACTGAAATGCTCTGAGAAAGCTACAGTGCAACAGCTATAAAAGTGCAAGTATGGTCACCCATGTCAGAAATCGCTAACAATGTTTTCAAATACAACCACTGTGAGCAAATAGCTTGAGGAAATAAAATTTAATACTGTCTTTTTCCTTTTTTCAAAGTGCTAGTGCTTCATTATGGTGCTGCCAATTACAGAATATTACACAATTAAAATGTGTAACTACACATTTTTTACTTTTTGTTGGTTTTGTTAAGATGTTATACCAACAGCTTCCCCATTAAAATGAATGCTAAAATGCAATATTAAAAAGCACAGCTATCACAGTTCTATGGATTCAGTGGATCACAATAGAGCGTTGTTTAAATCTAGAGTCTTTTTCCTGTATCAGTCTGTACTAGAGAGTATACACTTTCTTGGCAGAGCTATTATGCACATATATGATGGTTGTCACAAAATAAAGGAATTCTATTTGAGACAAGGCAAAGGCTGGAGACAAAGCAATTCCCATACATTTCATAACGTAACATGTTCCTTGTAAGGTATCACAGTCATTTTATGTAATCAAAGATACCAAGTAAATTAGAAAACTGCATTCTAAGCCCCTCAGACTTTGAATAATTTAAAAATAGTATTTTGGTGTCCTGCAGTGTGTCTTGCTAACAAGCTAACAGGTTCAGCTAAATAAACTTAAATGTCAGAGGGTAGAAAGATTGAAGTAAACTTCAGCACTCTGGTGTGCAGCTAATATAAAATTAATAGGAAACCACTCTTATGTTATTGTGGCTTTGCTGAGTTTAAAATTAATGCTAACAGTTTAAATGAGAGATGAAAGTAAACTTTTACTAACAAAGAAAGGAATGTTAAACATGGGAAAAAAAGCATTACTGAAAACATCTGAAAGTACATGAAGACTCTTTTCTCTTCCAATCCCCCGATTTGCCATTCTTGACCTCTTTTTTTCTTACGATTCCATTTAATGGAAAATTGTAACTATGCTGTTTAGGTGCATTTCTTTTGTGGCAATTAAGTTAAATATCTCTCCTCATCTTCAAATGTTGTCCTCAGCATAATTCTTTCTAGAAGCAAAAAATTATAGCCTGTACCAAGCATATTCACCATGCTCTTTAGTCATAAAGCCTACCTGAAAGCCATATTTATCCTCCAGCTCACAGGCCCTCTGCAGAACCTGCCTCAGGCAGCAAGTTTAGGTAATGCTTTGCACAGTGGGCACCAAAGAAGACCCAAAGGCCCTACAGGAATTCAAAAAATCATATATATGTTAATTCACACGTTAGTAAGAAAAATAATGCTAATCATAATAAAGGAAAAACTGAAAGCAGTGTGAGCTGTCTCATCTCAATTTTTCTCTTCTCTACAAGATGTTTATGCCAAAGAAAAAGCTGGCCACCAGGGTAGCAGAAATTTTATGTCTTCATCATGCAATTAGGCAACTGTTTGAAAGCAAAATGACGAAGCTCAGCAAATGAAAAATCGCCCCCTTATAAATATCCTTATAAATTCAGATCTTTATAAATATAAGCTTTTATCTCAGCTTTAGCTGAATAACTGTTTAGTCTAATACACATCCAAGATTCCTCAGAACCTTTAAAAATATTGTTGTGTTCTACGAGCCTAGTAAAACTTATTGCTTAAACTGAAATATGAACTTTTTACTGTATGAATAAGAGAACAAGGTGCACCCACCCTCCTGACTGATGAGTATGATCAAAGAGAAAAAGCTTCTGTGCAAGAGCCTCTAAGAGTAGTCTCGGTATCTTCATGAGCCAGTGCTTGAAGGGCTGAACCCTGAAAGGGTGAATAAAGGAATCATGAAAATGGAACAAATTCAAAAAAAAAAAAAAAGCTGTTGGACTCTTTTACTGAACATGCTTTACGATTGATGTTTTCTTTACATAGGTGTTATTTTATACACAATTTCCCTTCAGACCTTAACTGTTGTTTGGTTGATTTGGGGGGGGGAGGAAATGATACGCTACCTTTTTTCTGCTCCCCTATTCTCTTTTGACCACTTTGTCAATGAATTCTGGAAGGGCTCATGTGAAGGTCAGAACAGTCTTGCTGGCTAGATCAGGCCCTCTGCTTTTTTTGCAGAATCAGGCTCAGTGATTTTTATTTTGATGAGCTATTTGCAGTTGGCAAAAGTACTGGAAAAAGTATAAAACAGTCATTTGAGAGATCTTCTTTCATTTCTTCTACTAAAGAAACGCAGGATATCAGTCCCTCTATAGCTGATTCTCCTATGTCAAAATTCCAGATTACTGGTCTATTTGAGAAAAGCCTGCAAAGTTTGTAGAAGCTAGTGACAAGAATATTTACAGGGCTGTCCAGCTCTTCCACTTCAGCACATGTAACTTAAAAGACTGGAACATTGTTAAGTTTTGGTTAATGTGTCAGAACGATTGTTATTGCGTGTGCTGGTTTTACCCCTGTGATTTCTTTTCATTTAGATTGATAAGGAGCAGTTTCAAAAAATCCTGGAGCTAATTGAAAGTGGGAAAAAAGAAGGAGCCAAACTGGAATGTGGAGGAGGTCCATGGGGAGACAAAGGTTACTTCATCCAGCCTACAGTTTTTTCTGACGTTACAGATGACATGCGCATCGCCAAAGAAGAGGTAAATAAAGTCTTGGCAGCCTGTTCTCTCACTGGAGATTATCCATTTAAATGTCCATACAAAATATCCATTTAGAAGGTCAAGTGGTTACATAAAAATACTTTGAGTAAATCTATTGCTCCGTCGTGGTGGTGTTTAAAATGTTTTTCTTGGTTTCTGATGCCTGGTTCACCAACTCAGTGCAGGTGAGGTACAGGAGCATGGATCTGGCCTGCCAACAAAGGTCCCAGCTTAATCTGTCAGTAAAGAAGAAATGTTGAGATTTGAATTGTTTGCATCGCCCGTAGTGCCCATGTCTCACATGTTAGAGTCACAGTAACCTCTCACAGAGAAGTAAACCTTGATGGTACAGCTTGTAAATTCTTTGCACTGCCTGAGAAACCACCAAAGTTGGGGTCTGGACACAATTAAGGTGTCAGTGCCAGGACACCAGTGATTATTTGCAAGGAAAAGGAGAGATTTCTTAGTACAGGGCTGATATATCATTCAGAAAAACAGTTCTGTAAACACAGCCTTGAAGTTCAGTCATGGCCACTGCTGTGTGGGGTTTTTTTTACATTCATCTTGGTTAATAACTGCTGCAAATGTGTTGTAATTGATGTCCATTATACTTCTCCATACTAGAAAGCTCCTTCAAAATTATTACGAATCTAGGTGTTGCTTTTAACAGCCATCAATGCTGCTGATGCATCTGCTCAACATACAGAGTACTTTCAGCAAAAGTCAAAAAGCTGAGCTAAAAGGAATAGCAGAGCATCTAGATTTAATTGTGATTAGGAGGGAGGGGTAAAACAGGAGAGTGCAGTGAGAGAAATAATTTGGGTCTGGGAGGCAGATAGGAAACTGAGAGGTATGTTTCTTCACAGATCTATTGGTTTCCCCTGGGTCAGGAGTACAAGAACACTTTCCTCATGCTATTTTGAGTGTATTGAGCAATGAAATCTCAGAGAGCTAAGGCAGTGTAAAGAATATCTGGGTTCTGAAGCTCACAGCCTGAACAGTGGGGAACGTTCAATGGCTCTCTGAGCAATGTAAACCAATCCCTGCAACTCTAGTTAGAAACTAGCACTAAACCCTTCCCAAGAAAATAAAGTGGAAAGCTCATGATCTATGGAGCAGAAGAAATTATATGTGGTAATGTCCCCCTGCTCTACACAACCTTGGCACTATATGGTGGACATGGGCACCTCTGGCTGAGAGCACAAAAGCAACACTAGTGGGAAAGATGTGCCTGAGGAACCACAACCTCTCGTAACACCCATATGGAAAGAAGAATTAGTTGTTTCACTTGGTGTCCATGCCCAGTTGTGCAGCTACCTGTAGAGATGAAAGTCTAATAGAAAGTTTAGAAGAAGGAAGTCTAATAGAAAGTTTAGAAGAAGGAAAAGCTGAACATCTTTCTCAATTCTAAAACTGCAGTTTATCAACGAAATACCAGTTTGTTGGTAGGTAGCATAGATATGTAGCACGCTGTGACTCCATGCTAGCTACCTTTATGGTGGGTGTCTTTTAATCTTTTTTTTTCATTTGTTTTCATCTTTTATTTACTTACTTATTTATTAGTAGTTTTACAATAGGCTATCTTGATTTGTTTCATGCTACAAAAATCTTTACGTGAATTTATAATCCTTTTTAGAACTCTGTTATGAGATGCACACTCCTGACTGAATGAATTTAGGAATAGGGCAATCTGACAAAAGTATATTTTAGAAATGTACATTATTTACAATAGTAAGCTATTCTAGTCCACTTCATATGTTTGCATGTGTCTGAAACAGATATTTGGACCTGTTCAACAAATCATGAAGTTTAAAACCATAGATGAAGTTATCAAGAGGGCAAATAATACTACCTATGGCTTAGCAGCAGCAGTTTTTACCAAAGACATTGATAAGGCACTGACATTTGCAGCTGCTCTTCAAGCTGGAACTGTATGGTAAGTGGTGGTTTTTATAATACTTCCTTCAGAACTGCAGGTCCCAATGGCAGTAGTTCTAGGACATTTTAAGACCTCTTTTGGCAGTATATTTTTATATTTCAATTCCTTGTCATCTTTAGGGAGGTAGATTAATGCCATCCTGCCATCCTCTTATGTCTCTCTTCTTCTTACCTCAACACACTTAACATGCTGTTAGATAAACACTTCTTGTAAGTCTTCACAAAGTTATCTTAGTCTGAAAAAGGAAATTGACTTGCTAATAAGGAAAGGAGACAAAACAAAATACAGTGACAGTGCCAGTTTGGTTTCCATTCAGGATCTGGGGATAGCCCAATACATAATTTGTGGTGATTACTTTATGCAGTGTGTAAAGAAATTAAATATCTGAAGTTCTGAGGCTATTAATCTGAGCACAACATTCACCTGTGATGCAAAAGATTGACAAAATGTGGTTGAAAAAAGGAAGGAAAAACAAGTGAGGGACAAAGTGAGCAACAAGTGAGCAACAAAACAAGTTGCCTACAATTAGAAGGGCAACTATTTCCAGCAATGGAAAAGAAAAAGGCAACCTACATGGACCTGGAAAGACAAAGAGCTGCAAGAGTGGAAAGCCTGGAAAAACAGCAGAATGAGCCTAATAGCTATCACTGACAAACACCTGCATTTCCCTACAGTTACTTCTCAATGCATCAGAAAGAAAACAACCAATTTTTGCTTTAACGCTAAACCTGTGTCCAGTCTATATTTTCTCTGAAAGAACTTGCAAACAGCACAAATTCCAGCCCAGGTACTGTGACCTGAAAACATACACTTTCAAAAAATAATTTAACAGTTTTGACTTCAGAATTTGTAGAATCATAGAATGGTTAGGGTTGGAAAGGACCTTAAGATCATCTAGTTCCAACCCTCCCTGCCATGGACACGAATGCCTCACGCTAAACCATGTTACCCAATGCCCTGCCCAACCTGGCCTTAAACGCTGCCAGGGATGGAGCATTTATCACTTCTTTGGGCAGCCTGTTCCAGTGCCTCACCCAGCCTCACAGTAAAGAACTTCTTCCTTATATCTAACCTGAACTTCCTCTGTGTAAGTTTGAACCCATTACTTCTTGGTATTCTTTAAAAGCAAGAAAGATCAAAATAAATGCGGTACCTTTTGGTTTTACTGGTATGTGGTTGATGGTCTGTCTAGGAACCCTCAACTGTGAGTAGAACCTCTTTTGTTGAAATGAGTAGACTGGTTTCAGAAGAAGAAATTGTAAGATATGGAAATAGAGAAATCTGATTTGACAACGCTGCAAGACAAAAAGAGATTCTGTGATTCTCAGCCAACAGGCAGAATACACATTCTGCCAAAACTCTTCACACCACGAATTCCCCTGTGAAATTCTTTTCTTACTCATTATTGTGTTTTGTTCTCCACTATGATACAGTGATTTAACACTTAATATGATTTAACATTGAGTACAACCAGACAAGCCTTCCTAAATATGTACTGAATTGATTCTGAATTCATCTGTTAGAAATGTACCTGCAGAAGATTTATTTAACTGTGACTTTAGTTTCAGAGTTTATGTGCTAGTTAGGAAGGAATTTTATCATAACTATCAGAAAAATATCTGACAGTTAGAACCCTAATAAATGTAGTTTCTGTTGTTTCTCTGAACATTTAACTACACATACTTTTGCAAATACATTATTCAGATATATTTTGTTAATATCAACATTGGGGGTTTTTTTACAGGCAACAGAAACCCACTGATTTTACAGAAGTTAAAAAATTGTTTCATACTGTCAAAAGTAACTTTCCTGTTCTTCCAGGGTTAATTGTTACAGTGCAATGTCTGCTCAGTGCACTTTTGGAGGATTTAAGATGTCAGGAAATGGACGAGAAATGTAAGTAAATAATTTTTAAAATGTAGGCTCACAGGAACTACAAAATAAAATTCCAAAACTCAATTTTAAGCATTCATAACCAGGAGGCCCAGTTCAGTATTTTGTCAAATTAGTCTATACAGCATATAGATGCTTCATGTTGTGTAAGACAACATCAAGCAAAGTATTACTCCCTGAAACAAATAAGAAAATCATTTTGATACACATTTTTTCCAAATGACCAATTTTAGTATCTTGTATCCTACTCATATGCAAAACTGTGTTTATGGTTTACAGCTTTTTCATGTATAGAGAAGTTGTGATTTGCAGAAATTTATATATGGGTGTAGTTTGTGGAATTGCCTTTCAATGCTAGTTTTTTGAAAACATTAGACATCTAAAAATCCTTGATTTAAACTAGATTTTCAGTTTAACAGCCTTGCAGCAATATTTTTACAGTATGTCCTAGCTTGACCAGAAATTATGACAAAAATAATCTGTATTATTCAGATTGGTGAAGTGTACAGAAAATATAAGCTAATAAATTCTTTCAAATTTATCAGGTTCAGTCTAGTTTCAATTTGAATCATGTCTTGTCTTACCTGAATTCATCCTGATCTTCACATAATGTGCCAAATCATGAAACATTTAATATGATACATCTTCATTACATTATGTAGAATTATGTCTTCTGGGTTGTTTTTTTTTCTTCGAACATGAATCGCAAGTTGTCCTTTGTTAAAAATGCCATACATCTGGGAAAAACAAAGTGTTTTTTTAAAAATGCATAAAAACCAAAATGGGTAAGTTTCCCCTTTTATTTTGCCAAATGTTTGGTACTTCTGAAGAATAATGGAAGTAATGAAAAATATATGTGCAGCTGAAATGATACAGAGCTTTTTTTCCCTCTGGGTTTGGGACTGTTGTTTTTTTTTTTGGTTGGTTTGGGTTGGGTTTTTCTTTTTTTTCAAGAGGTGAAGGCTAGGGTTTTCATGTTTGCTCATCGCTGGACTCAATCTGCACCTGATTGCAAAGCTCCCACTGACTTCAAAGGCGACAGAGTTATGCCAATGCTGAGAGCTTTAGAAAACATCAACGTGAAATAACACCCATAACTTAGGTCATTGTTATCAAGGAATGTTTTGCATTTGCTGATTGACAAACACTGGGAGATCACCAATTCTGAATTACATCCTTTTGCAGGAATATTTTGGGGATTTATTTGCTGTAAATAACAGAAAAATTATAATAGGTTATCATAAAGATTAATATTGTCTATAACAGTGCATTTTGAAGGAAGTAAACTTTTGTGCAAATTAAGCTTTTCCCAATGCTTGTTTCAAAATCATAATTAGTGGACAAATAAGAATATTTTTGCTAAAGATCAAGGAAATAACTAGTACCAAATAGATGTCTGACCTGGAAAGAACATTTCTGGCAATTAGTTATGAGAGAGGCAGAAGCATGTGTGAAATAACTGCACTGAAATAATCAGGAAGTTAGTAAGTCAAGCTGTCGACTTCTTTGAATCCCAGAATAAAATTCCCTGAATAAAATTATCACTCTTGAAATGATAATACCGTTATGAATTAAACTACTGAATGTCATGCACTAACAGAATACCTCTTCAAAAAGGAAAAGAATCAGTAAACATTTCTCCACTGCATGAGAGGTCTGAGCACAGATTTCTCTTTTGCATACATATGTATCTAGTAAGACGGCAATGAGAACTGAATAACATTGTACTGTAGTAAAAAATAAAATTGTATTTTTCTATAAAACAATCAACTACGGCTAAAGAGTTTTACTGTGTCAGATGTCAAACATCTATGCACACAAGCAAGCTTCATTTCATCATGCAAAACATAAAGTTGGAATCGTGTTAATAAAATGTCAGAAAGAGTCTAGTGGTTTTTACTGTCTGTGAGATTTTGTAGTGGATTAATAATGTCCTTCACTTACTTGAGATAAAACATCTGTTCTTTGACTCTGGAGAAGAATCTTGACATTAGAGGAAGGCCTTTGCAAATAACTTGTTGATCATGTTTGTGAAGACCTAAGATGTGCCTGATTTGCTCTACAGAAATGAATTTGCTGTCTCCCACTTTTCTCAGGAGACAGTTGTAGCTTTTCCAAATACTTCCAGCAGCAGTCTAGTTGCACAGATGTCTTCTATGTCCAGCATGCTTGTTACATACATGGCCAATTGCAAAGCAGAACCGAAAATCCCATCCAGGACACAAGTCATACGAAAAAAACATTAACGTAAATATTGCTCTTGGTTCTCTTTTATATAGGGGAGAATATGGCCTTCATGAATACACAGAAGTTAAGACTGTCACAATCAAAATCCCACAGAAGAACTCGTAATGCTGCTTGAGGTGCAGAATTTAACACCTTCAAATGAATCTGAAAAAGCTATCTGAATTCGGAAAGCTTTTGTGTCCCAAATTATTCATTAACCTTCCTGATTTCTAATTGTGTGCTTACATTAACAATATGAAGGATATTGTCAACAATTTTAGTGTCATTAACTGAGAAAAGGAAACCTTAATGTCTGGTACATAGCTGAGTGATGTTTAAATTCATGTTGAGAAAAAACTACTTTTCAGTAGAAAGTGTCTAGTGCTCTGAAAATATTACTTTTTCAATGTATCCTACAGGTACAGTTTGAACTTCTGTGCTCTTCTAAATGTTAGAGGGTGAACTCTTTGCATTTTCTTGTCTTTGTGACCTTAACAAAAGCACTTACGAGTAATTACCAGATACTCCTCTGTGTCTTTAAAAATAGTAGACTTTTTTTAGATGTATTTTTTAGACTACTGAATTGTTCATCACACTACATAAATGTAATCTGGATAATATTAAACCATATTAAAATTCATCTTCAAAACCTGATATTGCTCCTTGAATTAGTCTTTCCTATTACACTGATTTACCACTGTCTCTCATGTAGCACATATTTTATATCTCTAAAGAGGAGCTACTGTCTCAGTGGTGTGTTTAGGTCATCAGAAATCTACTGTATTGGCTACATGGAGGCCTAAGTCCCTAATACTTCAACAGTATTACAAAGGGAAAAATATGAACACAGAGAGCCCTGGGCAGTTTGCAAAGAGCCAACACTTGGCTTTTTAGTGTTAAGTATATAATAAAGTTCTAAAAGATGACAAGCAAGAAATACTGAAGGGAAAGAAGAGAAGAGGAGGTGAGGCAAGGTAATCTCTTCTTCTTTAAGTGTAGTCATATTCCTGCATAAAACTTGCATGTTTTCCTCCCTCCTCTTTCCTCCTCTACTCTACTGTTTCACTTCATTCTTTTTCCTCATCCTCTCTTTTTATTATAGCTGCTTATTCTCATAAAGGCCCTCTGCAGATATGTGTGCCAAGCTGATCAGAACCTATAAGGTCTCTCAGTCTGTGCAGCTTTAGTGTTTTGCAATCTTCAGCTAGTGCAGCTTTCAGCATGCTCCGATGGCCACTCACCATCAGCAGCCGCCAGATAAGCTCTCGGACAGTGATCTATACACACCAAGCACAGCAATTACATAGCCTGATACTGACAGGGTCATGTTTTCTGTTCAGAAGAGGAAAGAACAAAAATCAAAATAAATACTAAGTAAAGGAAAAAAAAAAATCCTAACAAAATCATCTCTGAAAGACTTTAGGAGGGGTAACAAACATAATGTTAGAGAATGACAATCCTACAACGAAATATCAAATATTTAAAAAGAGATGAAAAGCAGTATGTAGAGCAGGTACGGATCTTAAGTCGCTATTGTCCAAATTCTACTTTTGCTGAAGTCAGTTTCATAAGTCTCAAGGGAGGCCAAATGACAATAAGTCTACATATGCATTTTGGTTTGAATCAGGAGTGCACTTCTGAAATTATATACCTGAGCACCTCCACTTATCTTCTTTATTTACATGGAAGAGTAATATAGGGGAGCAAAATTAGCTGCCTTTTTAATGACACTAAACCAGAAGATGCACACTTGGCCTTTGCCTGGTATAATCCAACCACTAATAACCATTCAGCCCTTAGAAGCAGACTAGGGCCAGTCTAAAGCAACTCCCCTTTGAATGTGTGCTGTGTGGGTGGTGGGTTCTTATCTGCTCACAGTGTCCTTTGGCAGCACAGGACTGCAAATCCAGTCCTACCAGGCTACGCCGCCTGCATCTGCAAGCCCAAGCGAAGAATGATTTTGAAATATAACCAGAGGAAAGGGAAAACTCAACATAAACAGAGGGGCAAAGGAGAAGGATCAACTCAGCCCTTGCATGTATACATGTATTCTTCTTGACAACACCTAAAATATTTTAATACTGCTCTCAGCAATATTACAAATCTATTTTGGTTCTTATTTAAGAAATTTGTTCTCTTATTTACAGGTAAAATAAAGCTGGCAATGGTCTTGTTCTGTCAGTTTAAACATGTAAATGTAATCAGAATGTAGCATCTGGTATTGACTTTAAATTCTCATTTTTCAAAAACCTTGAGTCCACGTGCATATTAGACATATGAGAGAGACAGAGAGAGAAGAAAGAGAGAGCAGATAGAAACAACAAAGGCTGTCATTCAACCAAGGTGAAGCACCCAACTTTTTCATCAGAGCCAAGTATAGCTTTGGGTTAATCCGATGACATATTGAAGTTGTTCGGAAGAGATGCCAATGTAAAGAGATACACCTTTTGGCATTTAGTAAGCTTAATGAATTCAATATGTGTGTGCTTGCATAAAGCACTTGAGATATGTTTGAAGGAGGCAGACAAAAGCTCAATAGATTACATAGTCCAGTTTATTTTATAAAAAAACATTCGTTTACAGTGCATGGCAAAGTATCCAACCTGGAAAAATTTCAGAACACAGTCCCATTTGTTCCCCAACCACCAGTTACAAACTCAGAGCCAAGTTCAAGAGCAGCTTTCTCTTCTCAGTGCACAGACTGTTAGTACTAATACAGTTTCTTTGTGAGTACAAGAAATGTCCTTTTACAATTAAGAGTAACTGTAACTGTGTTCTTAGCATTAAAAGCTCCACCTGACAGTGAAATACCTTTGCTCTATTTTTGCATTATATCTCCACATGGGTATGGCGGCTTGTGATCATCTGGGTTGGGCAAGAATAAAGGTGGACTTATGTAAATATTACACAAGTAATTCAGGACACCCTTTCTTTCTGGGCTCTAAACATTATCATGTTACTCCTGTTACATGCTAAAGCAGCACCATTGAAACTTACTGGGATAAAACGTGAAAAAAGCAATAGTTAATTCTATGTAAATGTCATTAATAATGCCAACGAAATTGTAGTCAGCATTTCACAGAGAACAAAGAACAAGACAAGTAAACTTGCTGCACTTCCTTTCAAAGCCCCTGAAAATTGGCTTCTATTGTCAACATCAATAAATAAATTTAAATTTTATGTCTGGATTAAAATGGTGATATTTTTCATGTAGTTCTCCAAGTTAGTGAGTGCCTGAATAAATAAGGTACAGCAAAATTCCAGCAGATTTGAAAGGAACTATTTCTTTTTCTAGTGAATTATGTTTCTATCTCCTTAACACTATTAAATACATACCTTTGATTTTCATGAAGATATGACCAGCAGATTCTTTTGCCGTCTTCATAGGAAATTACCTGTTTCAGCAACTTTTTAACCGTATAGAAAAGCAAGTCATAGAAACTTGAGGTCTTTAAAGCCACTGTCTTGCCATCACTGGAGCCATCTCTGACCCCTCTCCTGTCCCTGATATACTATCTTTTTTTTAAGGGGGGAAGCTCTTGAATGGCAGCAGCAGGATAGAGACCCTCAAGCTATTTCAGTCAAAACAGTGAATCTGTAAGGAATTCTTATTCCATCTCAAGACAGAAAATTGTTGATAGTCCTTGACTGCCATATGTCCAGGTCTTAAGACAGAAAGGAAAAGACATGGAAAAAAATATTCACAGCAAAAAAAGCATCTGGCTTGGATAAAGAATGAAAATTCCCTGATGAAGTAGGCTTTAGGGAGGAATTTGAAAGATGTGATTCTGGCAGGCAGCATGGCTCATGAGGGAGGAGCGCGGTATATTCAATCTGTGTCACAAAAGGTAAGTGCAGAAAAGACAAGTGCAATAAAAAAGAGGGAGAAAGGAAAGGAGTAATAGCAGAAGTATAAGGAGTTTGATGGGGAATGAAAGTAAAGCTAAAGATCACCTTGAGATTCTGAAAGATCTCACTGTAAGATATCACTATAATTCCGTAAGACTTAACATGAAGGGCTTTAGTGGTGAAGTGTCCTTTCACAGCCCCTTCATCCTCATGTTTGCTGGCAGGTTATATTTGTCCTGCCTGATCCTTCACATTCAGGCCTTGTTACAGTTCTTGTGGTGTCTTGTCTTCCTCTCAGTGAAAAGTGAGATTTAACTAACTGTTTTTAGAAGTCCACTTTAAAATACTGAAGAAAAAAAAAAGTGGTTTTGAACATTTGGGAATAATAGTACCCTGTGAACTTAGTGGGAGGCCCTGAGGACTGAATGATAACCTTTGCTGTGCTGGAAGAGAATCAGTGGCTTGATGAATATACTGCTCTGGAAACTAACAGTTAAAGATCTGGAAGCACAACGTAAACTGACTCAGACAATAAAATTCTGCATAGTCTTGTAGGAAGAACATAAATCACTTGTTGCATAAAAAAAATAGACAGGCACAAAGATCCAGAAAACAGAACTGAGTATTGGGTGGTTGGACTGTTGAAAATCCAATTCATGGAACAGTCCTCAACAATTATTCATATGCAGGATAATAAACTGGTAATATAAAAGGACATCACAGCTGGTTTTGCACATTAGTAGCAGGCATTGCAGAAAGATCTGAAAGAAGTATTAACCAAAACACAATAAGGTTGTCCACAGAGGGAGCAGAATAGAAGTAGCTCACTCTTTCAAGAAAAAGTATTAGTACTGAGGGTTATTTTGAATTAAGCAAGCTGGAAGGGATAGCAGCAAGGAGAGGATTTGGTTTATTGTCCTAGTTTATATCCCCATGTTGCTTACAGAACTATATGGAGCATTACTTTATCGCTATATAATAGTTTGACAATTACAAATGCATAATCCAAGATGGCTCTGGACATTAGGAGCATTTCAACAAAGTCTACCATGTATTTAAGGTTATTAAACAAACCACTGCAACTGTGCACCATCCTTTCTCTCATTGCCAGCACAGAAAAATCCCTTAGCCTCCATTACCTTTTTCATGGACTGCTAAGAAGCTTTGGTAATACGGCATGATGCATGCAGCACAAATCCAGCTGTGGCAAATGAAGTAATGCCTTTGTATTACCTTGCCAAATGGTACAAGCTGTCAGGGCCTTACCTATGGCCTCCTTATAGATTGGTGATGCATATTCTACTGAATGTAGAACATGGATTCTACATTCATTCTGAATATAGCTCCATATTATGTGTAATTATCATGTTTAGGATTGAGGAGCACATCATGTAGTGATGGTAATAAGACTGGCAAAATTTGAGCAAGATTAGACATTTATAGAGAAGAATGTCTGACAGGCAAATAAGTGGACCAAGTGAGAATAAGCAACACTGACCACAATTAACTATATTCAAGAATCAAGAAAGATTTTATACGAGTAGCCTTCTCCATCTCCAGACATCCTCAACAAAAAGGATCAATGCAAGTTACTTCTTATAAAACATCATCACCAATGAACAGACCACTTATTTACAGCACAATGCATGGACCCTCATACAGCACATTGATTGAGATCAAGCTACAGGGAAAAAGACAATGCATACATTTGGATGATGAATGAATACAAGAAAATCATATTCTGTCTACAAATATTTTTCCAACAGAACAGTATGATGATTATGTACAGTAAACACAGATTGC